CCAGCTGAAGACCCAGAGCCCAAGACCACGTGCTCCACAAGTCCAGCTGAAGACCCAGAGCCCAAGACCACGTGCTCCACAAGTCCAGCTGAAGAATGCTGCCACCTCAGCAGTCTTGCTTGCCTCTCGCAGCCTGGTGTGAGGCTGTCAGCATCAACTGGATGAATGTGGTGCTGTAGAAACGAGGTGTCCTTTTACCGCAGGCAATAAACGTGCTTGTTCATTAACACCATCTTCTAAAACTGTCAGAGTGCTGAAGCCCTTCTTTGAATCAGTGCGCATACCCTGTGCATGCTCTAAAGGATCCCAAATTGTACCCCAGCAGTGAACGCTAAGTTAGGAGAGCAGTGCTGAGCGACTCTGGCTGGCGCAGGTTCTGCTGCAGAGACACCACAGGACTCAGCGGGGAGCTCAGAGCCTGGCGGAGCCCTCGCTCTCAGGCTGATTTCCCTGCAAGCAGAGCTGCAGATCTGTAGGGCTAATGACTGGGAGCACAGTTAAGGCCACATTTCATTTTGTTAAAAAATTGCCATTTTCCCCACAGGACTGTTACTACTTTGTGTTCCAGCAGTGAATTGCTATATTTTACCATTTTTGCATTGTCAAAAATCTTAATTTTGTTCATTGTAATTGGTGCATACATATGTCCTTCTCATTCTTCATTTCCAGTTTTAAAGAATGCATTTTTCTCTTTTCCTGTGAGTTTCTGATTTGTGTTTTTAATTTTAAGACTAAACTTATTGAGACATCATTAGGTTAGTGCACCTTGGTACCCTAGAGGGTTCTAGAATTTAAGAGGTGCTCAATGCAGTGGCCACGAGCTTTTAAACAATAATTATTTTTTCTTTTCTTTTTTATTAATTTTATTGAGAAACAAATAGCAATGAGACAATTTCAAAACAGGTTAGTAGGACAGTTACAATAATTAATACATTGCATATTGTTGTCTTCATAGTAGTTATTCATAGTACAAGATGCAGACATGATATCCTGTCCAAACACTGTTACTACAAATCTTTCTTCTCCTTGAATTAAAAGAAAGTAGCTGTATATCTACCCTAACTAATTTGTATATACAGAAGAAATGGACAGATTCCTAGAAAGGTACAAAACTGAATCAAGAAGATATAAGAACTCTCAAGAACACAATAATAGCCAATGAAATATGAAATGTAATAAAAAAAATACTGACAGAGAAAAGTCCAGGTCCTGATGGATTCACAGCTGAATTCTACAAGAAATTCACAGAAGATATAATCACTATACTCCTCAAACTCCTCAATGAAATTGAAAAGGAAGCAATCCTCCCAAAATCATTCCTGGAGGCAAGTATTATACTGATACCAAAACTAGGGAAAGACACAACTAAGAAAGAAAACTACTGGCCAATCTCCCTCATGAACATAGATGCCAAAATCCTCAATAAAATCCTAGCAAATAGAATACATCAAATCATCAAGAGGATTATACACCACGACCAGGTAGGATTCATCCCAGGGACGCAAGGATGGTTCAATATATGCAAATCTATAAGTGTGATACACTATATCAATAGAGTTTCTGTTTTTAGTTAATGCCAGGCTCAGAATCCCTTCCTGGCTCACAACTGCCTCACCCACCTGTAGTGCAGGAGGGTGGTGGGCCACAGGTCCCCAGGAAGCGCCCCTGCTTCCGCCTCATGGTCCTGGCTCTTGGGGCAGTGTCAGGGCTGCCATCAGAAGCTCTGGTCTGTCCATTGGGGCAGCAGCTGCCTGAGTATCTGGCTTTGTGTCCTCAACTTTGAGTCAAATCTCCTCCTGAAGTTGCCCTCGGGTGCCCGCCACTCCCGCGACCCTCTGCAGGGACTTGGAGACAGACAGTAAGCATGGCAGAGACTAGCCCTGTTTTCTATTTTTGAAACACTGTGAGCAAAGTTCTTTCCAATCCATACAGCAAAGTCACCAAGACATCAAAGTTAGTCTCCATAAGCACGCCAGCTCTTGGTATCAATGTCAGGAGCACCACTGTTTCAGGTGCTGAGGCCGCAGGGCCAGGCACCTCTGCTCCCCTGACCAAATCCAGGGAGTGTGATTGATTTAGAGACCAGAGAAAGGGTCAGCTTACAGCAGAACATGCAGGGCCCATCGCTGGGCACCACCCTCTGCACACATCGAGCCCAGGGAGGGGCCCAAGAGGCAGAGGGCAGGGTGTGTTTCACCCAGGCGGGCTGGGGTGTGCTTACCCGCGAGCCACTTGTCTATTGGAAGTGCACCTAACTCTGGAGTGCCTGTTGTCTGTGCCAGGTTGTGCCAGGTTTACGCTGACACGTGTGAGGGACAGGAGGGAAAAACAAGGGAAAACTGTGGATGAGTACTATGCACATGGAGAAGACCACCTTTGTTAAGAGAGCTAAAGTAATTACTGGTGTTTGTGTTAATTTTATCTACCTATCATTTACTGGGTTTGTAAAAATCTTATGAGAAAAAGTATATATTAACTCATGCTTCGTGGAACAGGAGATGTGGCCTAGGAAACGTGGGATCCGAGGAGGTGCACAGGCCTCCGAAACCTGGGCAAGGTGCTGCACACCCCTCCTTGCCTGCTCCTGACCATGTCTGGCCCCAGGATCCAGCTGCTCCTGGCATCGTCGGCATGTCTCTAAGATGGAGATGAGCTCTCGTGGTTCCAGTAGGGGAGAGAAGGAGGAAGAATGAGGAGCCGGGCGGTTGGGGGGCCTGCCACAGCTGCTGCCACCGCCGCTGCCACCCACCTCTCTGCTCTCCATGGGGAGCTGTGAGTCCCCAGCACGAGCTGCCGGTGGTGCTGCTGCTTTGCGAGGGTTGGTGGTGGGGAGGCGATGGCTGATATAGATAAACTCATCATCGACAGCATTATCCAACGGCTGCTGGAAGAGAGAGAGCCCAAGCCAGGTGAGACTGTCCAGCTATAGGAGAATGGAATCAGAGGATTGTGCTTGAAGTCTCGTGAGATCTTTCTGAGTCAGCCTACCCTACGAGAACTTGAAGCACCACTCAAAATGTGTGCTGATATCCACGGAAGATACTATGATTCGACTTTTTGAATATGGTGGTTTCCCACCAGAGAACAGCTGTCTGTTTCTTGGGAGCTATGTGGACAGGAAAGCAGTCATTGGAGACTATCTGCCTCTTACTGGCTTACAGAATCAAATGTCTAGAGAGGTTTTTCTTCTCAGAGGGAACCATGAATTGCCAGCATCAATTGGATTTATGGATTTTGTGATGAATGTAAAAGAAGATATAACATTAAACTATGGAAAACGTTCACTAACTGTTTACCAATAGCAGCCATCATGGATGAGAAAATATTCTGCTGTCAGGGAGGTTTAGCCACAGATGTTCAATCCATGGAGCAGACTTGGCCAACTACGTGACCAACTGATGTACCAGGTCTAGGTCTGCTTTGTGCTCTTGTGTGGTCTGACCCAGATAAAGATGTCTTAGGCTGGGGTGAAAGTGACAGAGGAGTGCCCTTCACATTTGGTGCAGAAATGGTTGCAAAATTTCTCCACAAACATGATTTGGATCTTATATGTAGCCCACAAGGTGGTCGAAGATAGATACGAATCTTTTTGCAAAGAGACAGTTGGCTACTCTGTTTTCTGTACCCAATTACTGTGGAGAATTTGACAGTGCAGGTACCATCATGAGTGTGGATGAAACATTAATGTGCTCCTTTCAGATTTTAAAACCTGCAGAAGAAAAGAAGCCCAATGCCACAAGACCCTTAACACCTCCAAGGGTTGGGCCGGGCCTGAGCTCGTCCATTCAGAAAGCTTCAAATTATAGGAACAATACTGTTCTATATTAGTGACTGATTATATTTTCTTTGGCCTATGTTCTTTATTCTGCAGTGAAGCTGAGGCTTATAAGTCAAAACAAAGGAACTTAACTTGCTTTCCACCAGTTTATACAGAATTTACAGTATCTATGATTTTTTTAAACTAAGATCTGTTAAAAAAAAAAAAAAGATTTGTTTCAACAGATGACTGTGTACAATACCATGTGGTGAAAATTCAGACTTATTAAATGACAAACTTGTTTTAAAAAATGATAGAGATGAGATTTTGACCAGCAGAAATCCCTGGAAAGTCTACTTCTGGTTGCATCCCAGAAGGCGGGTCAGGCAGACCGGAGCAGTCAGATTTCCTGCTGAATGACGCCTTTCAGCTGCGCTCCATGCCAGGGCGTCACGGGGCGAAGATCCAGCCCGACAGCCTGCAGATTTGGTCGAGGAAGAGGAGTCAAGGCTGTGCTGCGTTCCCCTGCGCACCAGGAGGGGTGTCACTGCTCCTCAGAGAGCCGAGGTAGATGGAAAGCTGTGCACACCAGGTGCAGCCACAGAGAGCTTCCCGCGGCCAGCGGCGGACTGGAGAAGGAGCAGACCCTGACTGCGGGAACTGCTGACGCTGCAGGCGTTTCCTCCTCACTTCCTCTGGTGAGACTTCTGGCATAATCACTACTTGTCCCATGACAAAGAAAGCGTCCCCAAGTCTGTGCTCCATGAAGAATAGTTTTTGGATTTCTACAAAACACATAATTCATTTTCTTTGTTTCCAAATTCTGATAAAGGAGAAGTCTTCAATTTCTTCTCAAGTCACTTTTAGACTTTTCAAAATCCTCATGTTATTTTATGTATTCACTCACTTTGAGGTTTTTTTGTGGAAACAGGGATTGAACTCAGGCCCTTGCGCTTCCCAGGGAAGCGCTCATTCCACTGAATCATCTCCCCAGCCCCTGACTCTGAGGTTTTACAAAGCTTTGCTCCTTTCAAGTGTCTCAGATGCCAATGTTCCCAAGTGCTCCATAAACCCTATGAATGGTTGGCAGGACACTGTAATCTGAAGCACCAGCTATGTTCACGGAATCAGAGGATCAGACCAGAAGCATCTAGGGACACGCTTATGAGTGAACTTTAATCAGACACCTGCTATGACAGAGAATTAAAATCAGCAGAACCAAAGAAAGACAAATACAAGTGTGTTTCTAGAAGGCTGGCGTCAGTTTCGTGGGAATGTGGGGCCAGTTCCCTCCTGTGCACCCAGCGCAGGCAGCTGCCCCCACCGTTAACCTCCTCATTCACAGCAAGCCCCGAGAGCCCGGGACAGATGAAGCCAGCAGAGGCCCCTGCACATCACACTGCAGGCCCTCTCTGCCGGCCCAGCACCCTGCTCCAGGCGTCCCGCACGTCCCTGTTCCTCAGGCTGTAGATGAGCGGGTTAAGCACAGGCGTGAGGATGGTGTAGAAGGCGGAGAAGACCTTGTCCTGCAGCGGGGTGTGGTAGGCCGGGGGCAGCACGTAGGTGTACACTGCGGCCCCGTAGAACAGTGTCACCACCATCATGTGCGAGGAGCAGGTGGCCAGGGCCTTCCTCTTGCCCCCCGCAGACCTCATGCGCTGCACGGCGACGAGGACGCGCGTGTAGGAGGTGGTCACCACGGAGAAGGGGGCCAGCAGCATCAGGACGCAGCAGACGTACATCACGGTCTCGTAGGCGGCCTTGTGGCCACAGGCCAGCCGCAGCATGGTGGGGGCCTCGCAGAAGAAGTGGTTGATGGTGTGCGAGGCGCAGAAAGGGAGGCTCATGGTGAGGGGCGTGAGCAGGAGGCTGTCCAAGGCGCCCCCGAACCACGAGCTGGCCACGATCAGCCAGCAGACCCTGCGGCTCATGAGCACCGGGTAGCGCAGCGGGCTGCACACGGCGGCGTAGCGGTCGTAGGCCATGAGGCCCAGCAGGAAGAACTCGGCCCCCACAAAGCCCATGTAGAGGAAGTACTGGGCGGTGCAGCCGGCGAAGGAGATGGTGCCCGTGCCCACAAGGTAGTCGGCCAGGGCCTTGGGCACGATGGTGGAGATGTACAGCATGTCGATGAGCGAGAGGTGGCCAAGCAGGAAGTACATGGGCGTGCGCAGGAGCGCGTCCCTGTGGCTCAGGAAGATCAGGAGCCCGTTAGCAACCATGGCCGTCAGGAAGACGGCGCCGACGACGGCGAACAGGAGTCCTGGGGCTCCGCTGTGAGCGAAGAGCCCCACCAGGGTGAAGTCGCTGGAGAAAGAACTGTTGCTGGCCATGGCGTGCTGCTTGAACTGGGGGCGTAAGAGGAGCAGGAGTTAGCGCGGGCCACAAGAGACAGAACGAATCATGTAAAAAGGCACATGATTTGCTTTTTTTCCTGAGCAATTAAATGAAAAGTTTGCATATAATTCATAGCAAGCTCTTTCCCAAGAAGGACTGTGCAATTTCTTCCTGTTGAGAAGTCACAGGGCTGGAGCCATGGCATGGGGAGGAGTCGGTGCTTGGCAGGGCTGCAGGGGAGAAGGCGCAGCCTCGCTGCAGAAGGTCTGGGCCCAGCAGAGACCCTTCCCTTGGGGTGGACTCCATTCATTTGAAATGTGGATGTCTCTCCAAGACGAGGGACATGCTCTGTACAACCAAGTCATTTAGTAAGGCATTTGACCAAATTGAGGTTCTTCATCGTAATTTTAAAAGCTGCAGGAAGGAGGGGGCCCACACTCCAGCAGCTGGTAAGTTAGTGGACCAGCCTTGAGCTTTGGGCACAGACACTAGGGTGGAAGTCGGTGGTCAGGCCTTTTTTTAAATCAAATGCCTCAGGGAGAACTACAGCATTAGAAGAGCAGTCCCAGCCCCTCCATCCAGAGGCCAGGACCAGCCCTCTGCCGCATGCCCCATGTATGCCTCTATATACAAATTCCACTGCAAACTTGGCTGACGTACACACACATTTCCAGGATCTGACCTGGACCTACCACAGACTTGTGGAGATCAGAGGAATTTTACTATGTTTATTTTACTATGTTTATTTTACTGGTTTTTTTTTTTCTGTCTGGTCAGACTTTTTTGTTGTTGTTGTTGTTTGTTTGTTTCTTTAGTTTTGTTTTCTTGGGGGCCTGCCCCTTAGCTCAGTTCTTTAAGTGGCTGCTTCAACAAAGCAGTCAGGCTCAGGTTGCTGTGGTTCGATCCCCACAACTCAAGCCAGCCAAACCTGCCCTGAAGGCATTCAGAGCAAAAAAAAAAAAAACCCAAAAACCAAAAACCAAAAAACAACCCTTTAGTTTTGTTTCCTTATTTTGATTTTTTATTGTTATTTTTGCTTCTGTTTTTTCTCTCTTATTTTTCTCCTCTTTTCATGCCTTATGTTCACACCCTCCCTCTTTGTTTTTTCTACTCATCTTCTTATCCACCTTTGCCAACAGTCCTGCTTTATTTTGTGATGTTTTCATGTGAGCAAACGTTGCCTCTTCTCTTTCTGGTTTGCTAGCCGGGCTGTGCCCGAGACTATTGTTACTGCTAACTGCTCTACTTCATCCAGGGTGTCACGCATGTCGTAATCGGTTTTTCTCCCCTGTGTGACAACACTGTCACTGTATGGGGTCATTACATAACATCGCCATACTCCAGTAACAAAAGACTGGGTTCTGAGCCAAAAAGACAACATGCCTCACTCTTAACCCGCAGGTAATGCAGGACCGTGGGGTAGATATAAACATGAAGAAGTCCTACATCGAGAAGACATCCTGTGGAACAGACATTTCCTGGGGAAGCCCCAATACACGGGGAGCACTATCTACCACAAGAAATCTATATCATCAACATAGAAAACCAGGTGAAATTGGCAAAACCAGAAAATAACAAGACTCTGAAGTAAAATGCAACCACAGACCACCAGCTCAAGCAGGATGAGTTCAGAGCTCAGTGAGATAGAAGTAATCAGAAACCAAACACTGAAACTTTCTGAAATGATAGCAACAGAAATGAAAAGAAACGGCAGAGGCTACAGAGAAGGTAATCTTTATGTACAAAAAGAAATGGCAAAATGGGTGATATTAAAGCAGACAGAGATAAGAAAAAAAAGAGGAATTCAGAAAAACAATAGAAACCATTAATGGCCAACATAGGAAAGAAATGAAATCCTCTACTCATTCATGATAAAAACTACAGAAAATCAGAGTAGGTGACCTATCTCAAACTAATAAAAAGGGCACCTATGACAAGCCAACAGCCAGCATCATCCTAAATGGACAAAACCTAAAAGCTTTAACTCTAAAGTCAGGACCAAGGCCAGGGTGTCCACTGCCACCACTTCTAAGCAATGTAATTCTGGAAACATTGGTCAGAGCAATTAGAAAAGAGAGAGAAATAAAAGGAATAAGGATAGGAAAGGAAAAAATTAAATTGTCATTATTCACAAATAACATGGCACTCTACATTGAAGGCCCCAAAACTCCACCAAGAGATATGTAAACTTAAAAACCAAATTCAGTAGCATAGCTGGACACAAGGGCAACTCTCAAAGATCAATAGCATTCCTGTACCCAAATAACAGAAATTAGGGAAACCACACCCTTCACCAAAGCATCCCCAAAGAGAAATACTTAGAAATCAACCTAACAATGGAAGTAGAACACCTCTACATTGAAAACTACTCTTTTCTGAAAAAGGATATAGAAGAGGTTATCAGAAAATAGAAAGATGTCCCTTGCTCTTGGGCAGGAAGAACCAACATAATAAAAATAGACATACTCCCAAAATTGTTGTTATTCAGATTTAAAGTGATCCCAATCCAAATACTATTAGGACACCTCACAGAACTAGAGAAAACATTCCTAACACTCATCTGGAACCATTCTTCTGGAATCAGAGGGGATCTGGAATAACCAAAGCAGTTCTGGGAAACCAAGGCAAAGCAGGGGCACCGCAGTCCCCCACCTGAATCATACTCCCAAACTACTGGGATGAAAAGGGCAAAATATGTTCACTGGAAGAAAGGTAGTCTCTTTAATAAATGATGCTGGAAAACCTGGATTTTCACATCTGAAAATTAGAGTACAGCCATATCTAGCACCATGCACTACAATAAAATTGAAATGGATCAAAGATCTAAATATTAAAACAAAAACATTAAATCTACTGGAGGAGGAAGTAGGTAGAAATCTTAAAAAGATATGGGTAGGTAGAGAGTTTATGAACAAAATCTAGATTGCATGGGAAATAGTTCAAAGAATAAACAACTGGAATCTCATTTTATTAAAAACCGTGGGTGCATCAAAAGAAATCATGAACAGTGTGCAAAGAAAACCAATAGAGTAGAAAAAATTAGGCAGTTATTCCTCAGACAGAGGACTTATGTCTAGAACATATAAAGACCTGATAAAAATTAGACTCCCCAAATTCAAAAACCCAATCCAAAACATGGGGATCTGAGAGGCACATGCACTTCTCAGATGAATAAATACAAATGGCAAATGGATAGATGAAAAAATATTCACGGTCATTGGTCATTCAAGAGATGCAAATGAAAACAATGCTGAGATTCCATGTCACACCAGGAAGAATGGCTAGCATCAAAAAATCAACCACTAGCAAATGCTGGCAGGGCTGTGGGGAAAAGGAACCCTTCTCCACTGTCGGGAGTGTGGACTGGTGCCACCACTGTGGAAGTCAGTATGGGGCGTCCTCATAAAACCAGGATTAGAAGTTCCAAGTGACCCAGCTCTTCCCCGTCTGAGTGTCTTCCTGGGAGAACTACAAGTGTCTACTACAGCAATATTCTCCCACCCAAGTTTATAACACTAGACTCTGTAATGGCTGAATCTTGGAATCAACCCAAATGCCTGTCAACCAAGGAATGGATGAAAAGATGGGATTTCTTTATTCAATGGAGTACTACTCAGCCATAAAGAAGGATAAACTTGAGACTTTTACAGTTAAATGGATGAACTTGAGACCAGACTTGTAAGCGAAGCAGGTCAGACCACATGTGGGAACCTCGTAGTGTCTCCCTGGCATGAGAAACTAAAAGAGCAAATAATGTCCAAAATGTGCATTATCGTGCATTCACAAAATTGTGAAATGGGATGAAATTGTTCAAAGGAAAAAGGAACTAGGATGGGGGAAAGGGAAAGGAAGGGGAAAAGAAAAACAAGGCAAGATGGTGCACTACGAATGTCTCTGATTTCACTGAAAATAAAAGTTTGTACTATCATTTGGAGAATTTTTATGTGCTTGCTTTGTACTGTGAGCAACTACTTTAAAGATAACACTATGCAATGTATTAGCTCTTGTTACTCTTCCATTATTTTGTTCTGAAATTTTGTTTTACATAAAATAAAATAAGCCCTGATGTGTCTCATAAGGAAGCAACCATTCAGCTGCAGACACAGCTGCAGATCACAGCGAGCCACAGCAAGGGGACGCCACGTCCTCCTGACTGGTGGCCATTCTGCCTTGGTCCTGTCGCCTACCAGCTTTCCACCCACTCGTACCCCGTGCTCTATTGCAGAGATGCCAGGGTGACTTTGAGCCCTGTGGCACTCACTGTCATGTGGAGGAGAAGCAGCTCGAGCTCAGAGAAGGGGACTGTGTCCTCCTGCACAGCCCACCAAGGGGACGGTCCTCCTGCCCAGCCCACCAAGGGGACGGTCCTCCTGCACAGACCACCAAGGGGACCGTCCTCCTGCACAGCCTGCCAAGGGGACCGTCCTCCTGCACAGCCCGCCAAGGGGAC